GCCAGGGCCTGCCCCCCGGCACGGCGGGCGCCCTCACCCACCGCGACGGCTTCATCTACTTCTTCCGGGATGACCAGTACTGGCAATTCGACCGGGCCAAGCTGCAGGTGGTGGCCACTGGCAAGTGGGCCACCCAGCTGCCCTGGATGGGCTGCTGGGACGCAAACGGTGGGCAGGTCACCTTCTGAGCATTGTGCTGGGACCACCTGCAAGGCTGAACCCCACCTTGCCCGCCACTGCCCAGATCCGTCTTTATGTGACTCTGATTCCTGTTCCAGGACAGTTTAGCAGAGCTTGGCATGTTGGAGCAGTGCCCTGGCACGTCAGGGATGCTGCTGGCGTGAGGCATCAGGGTGCTGGGTCTGCCACGGCCACGTGGGCTGGAAGCTTTGGAGGACAATATTTAAAAAAAAACAACAAGAAAAGGTGTAAGCCATGGAGACTGTGCAGCCCCAGCCCTGTTCCTGCTCAGGGCAGTGCCAGGCATTTCCTTCAAGCCAGGACTGGGGTTTGTTGTGCTTCAGCTCTTGTTTTCCCAGTCGGGCAGGGAGGTGCCTCACAGGGGCTTGGTTTGTGGCTTGGGTCGTTTTATGATGTTTCCTGGTTCAAACAAAAAGAAAACAGGTATTTGGATGAAAATAGGGGTCCGTGTTGAGTTCTGTCGTGTGCTCAGAGATGTATTTTGGGAGCAAGCAGTGGGATTTGGTGTAGGAGTGTCTGTGGGGTGAAGGAAGGAGGAGTTACAGTGGAGCTGATGACCCTGTCACCGTGCAGCTGGAGCGCTGGCTCTCTGAGGGGTTTGGGAGCCTGGGTGGGTTCTCTGGTGTCTAATAAGGGTTGTGCTCACCTGGCAGTCTCTTGTGTGTGGAGAGGGTGTCTGTCCTCTGCTTTGTCTGCAAGAGATGGGATTAACGTGTTTTTGAGTCCCCTTGCCACAGGTGGATGAACAGGGTTGACAAATTAGCGGGGGAGGTGGGGATGAGGAGAGGGTGAGCAGGACAGATGGACATGTCTGTGCATGTAGGCTCACAAGGACAGCTTGGCTGCATATTCCTCATTCCTTTCCCAAAGGCTCCCCACCTGGAAACGCCTCTGGCTCCCTCACGTCCTCAAGGGGCCACTGATTGTCTCCTGGCTTGAATTCAGTGGCAGTAAATGCCAGTAGCTGTTGGTGCTGACCAGGACTGGGCTCAGCTTCCTTAAAACAGCCTTTGGCCTGGGAGAAGGGGGGATTTTCCCCACCCTGGGGTTGTGCAGGGCTGGGCTGCTGCTCCGCTGGTGGGTGTCCCAGGACTCGGACCCAGCACTGGGTGCCCTATTGGGGTTGGTGGCTTTGGCACGGGGCTGTGGTGGCCCTGCCATGCCAGGAGCTGCACAGGCAGCTCCACCTGCTTCCCAAGGTGTCTGGGTGAGCCCTGCAGACACGGGCAGGGTGACTTCATCTGCTCATGGCTTAAAATCTCAGGGGATTTTCAGCGTTGCCAAAGGGCTGGGGCTGCATTATCTTTGTTTTGAATTGAGTTACAATAAGGGAGTCTCCTTCCAGGGAGTCTTAAGACCTTGGAGACCTGGTGGCAAATAAAAGGAGCCTCTGGCTGTGCAGTGTGGGGGTTGCTGCTTGTTTTCATGTCACACTTTTGTATTATTTTTCTAAAAGCCAGTCTCCTGGTTCCAGCAAGGCCTGCATTTGAGCTGCATGTGTGTGCTTGGGGCTGGGGTGGGCATTGCTCAGTTTGGCCTTAGCCTTCCTGCTTGCTGGATCAGATGGGGGGATGGAGCCCTCTGAAAACTCCCTGATGGGACTGATGCTGATGGTGAAGAAAACATGGAAACTCTCTTCCCTGCTTCATCCCAAATTATTCAGGATTTCTCCACAGTTTGGAGATGTGTTAATGATTTTTTTTTTGCCAGTGTTGAGGATGAATTCATGCTGATGGGGACCCTTCAGGTCTCCACCTTGGCCCTGGCTGGTGGAGGCAGGTCCTTGCCTGCGATGGGGCAGGCAGCAGCCTGGAACCTGCTTTCCTGTTTGCTTTGCTTCATGCTGGGACACTCTGGGGTGTCCTGCCTGTCGAGCAGGCAGCCTTCTGCCTGAGGGACAGGGACCCCTCATGTTTGCAGAGGTCAGTTGTGCCTCCATCCCCACTCATGGTTGGTCCATGTGCTGCTTTTGGAGACGGGAGGATTTATGGCTCTGTCTGTACCCCAGGGGTACTCCACACCCACAGCCCTGCAGAGAAGCAGTAGATAATTATTCCCTTTTGTATCCCCTTAGGAGAGAGCAGGATGTCCCTTCTGCCATGGGCCTGGAGGCTGGGAACAGGACAACCTCAAATCCTCTCCCATTTTTGGGGTTTCCTGTTCCTCCCTTGTTTGCTGCAGTGTTTGCTGGGCCATGTGCTTGGGGTGGTGCTGCCAGGGCTGGGGCTAAGCACAGCATTGCTGGCAGAGATGGGGGTGAATGTGCTGCGTCCCCTGCACCCCACAAGTTTGTGGTGGCCTGGGGGAGATGGACTCACACCCTGAGTCATGCAGTCAGCCCTGCTGGGTGCTGTGGCTGAAGGTCCTGCATCACAAGGGTCCTTTTCTCCTGCTGGGCTCCTTGGCAGGGCACACCAGGCACGGACTCCTCCAGTCAGCCTGCCACACATTCCCCAGCCCAGGGGAATAGCTGGGATTCCTGCATTTCCTCCCCCAAAATGCCAGCTGATGTGCAGTGAGCATCAGCAGCTGGCCCCGGGGAGGTGAATGGGGTTCCCTGACACAACCAGAAGCCCCCCAAGCCCACGCAAGGCTCCATTTCAGTCCCAAAGGGCGAGCACATCCCTGAGGGAATGACCTGGGAAACTCAGGGGAGAATCCACCCCTGGGGGGAGCTGGGGAAGACGGAGCAGGGCTGCTGGCACAGGAGCAGGGAGTGTTTGCAACCGGTCCCTTGTCACCAAGGAGAAGGGCACAGCACTTGGGAAGGAAACAAAACACCCACTGCCCAGGAGGGTGTTTTCCTTTCCCAACAGACTGAGAAGGGCTCCCGGCTGGGAGAACAGTGTCACCATCCCGGGTGGCAGGCGGCAAGTGGCACTGGGTGAGTGCAACTGCTGGGCAGGTGGGCTGGGGTACAGCCTGGAGCAACTTCCCGTGTCCCCATCACCCTCTTCCCTTACTCTCCTCCCAGTGGTGGGGCAGGATGTGGGGCACGCCGGGCAGCGCGGCGCGGAGCATCCGCCCCTACCAGTCCAGCCAGCAGTACCTCTACGCCGTGAAGGAGGACCTGGCCGAGTGGCTGAAGGAGCTGTATGACCTAGACATCGAGGTGGGCACCTTCTTGGAGGTGCTGGAGACAGGGGCCGTGCTCTGCTCCCACGCCAACAACATCACCCACGTGGCCCAGGAGTTCTCCCGTGCCTGCCCTGGCAGGGCCCGGCACCTCCACCTGCCCGCGGCCGGCGTCACCTGCAACCTGGCGGCACAGCCGGGCACCTTCCAGGCCAGGGACAATGTCTCCAACTTCATCCAGTGGTGCAGGAAGGAGATGGATATCAAAGGTAGGATGCTGGGCTCCAGCCCCTCTGTGTTCCCCGTGGGTAACTCCTCTCCAGCTGCTCCTGGCACCTTTCCCGTGTGTCCCCCAGAGCTGGTGCCACGTGGCATCAGGCAGCGCTGTGAACACAAGTCCCTGAGCTGGGATTTCTTGCACAAACACCTCTGGGATCAGCAGCAGCTCTGCAGGCCATGGGCACGGGACAGGCCTGTTTGCTTAGGTGCAAATGTGTTCTGGGGGGGGTTGGGGAGATGGGGAGAGCGTGTGGAGCAGCCTGGCCCTGCTGGGCATGGCACCACCTCAGTCATAAGGACATCAGGAGCAGTGCTGGTTGTGAGCAGAGGGTCTGTCACCCTGTCCCCACCACCAGCAGGTGCCTGGGAAGGGCATGGGCATGGAGTGACACATCTTCAGGGCACCCAGCTGCTGGGTCTCATGCCTTTGGGATGCCATAAACCAGCCATAGGACCTTTGCTTGTAAATGCCCAAGGGGAAGGGCTCCTCCTCCATGAATTTATCCCAACTCTTCTAGGCCCAGCCATATTCCTAGCAGGATGGCTCCAGGGAATAATTTCCCTTCAGGCAGGTTTTTGACTCTGCCTGTGCCCCCGTCCCCTTTGCCCCCATCCCCATGTGCCTACCTTGGCTCATTCCACCCTTGTCCTGCTCCAGATGTCCTGATGTTTGAGACAGAGGACCTGGTGCTGAGGAAGAACGAGGAGAAGTTTGTGCTGTGCCTGCTGGAGCTGGCGCGCCGCGCTGCCCGCTTCGGCATGTGTGCCCCGACCCTCGTGCAGATGGAGGAGGAGATTGAGGAGGAGTTACGGGAGGAGATGGACCTGCCAACCATGGACACCCCCCCGCCCCCGCCCCCCAGGAAACTGCGGGACCTCCACAACCTCGACCAGATGGTACAGAGGGGCATGGAGGGGGATGGGGACAGGGGTGGAGTGGAAGAATGCTCAGAAGAAGCCGAGGAAGAAGAATGCTTCTGGATGGGGACAGATGGAGGTGGGGATGGGGACAGGGATGGAGGTGGGGATGGGGACAGGGATGGAGGTGGGGATAGCCACCCCAGGGCCTTTCCCAGGGGCCTTGGTGAGGACCCATCCCTGCTGCCCACAGGTCCAGCACCTGGTGAGCCGCTGTACCTGCCCTGTCCAGTTCCCCATGATCAAGATATCTGAAGGGAAATACCGTGTGGGTGACTCTGACACCCTCATCTTTGTCCGTGTGAGTCTCCTTCACCCTGTGTTTTTGGGGCACAGGCACCAGGAATCCTGCTCTGCTTTTTTATAATCCATCCCCCAAATGGGGCCAGTGAGGGGTTTTTGGCCCTTTCCCTCAAAGCTGGGAAGCTCAGCCCTGTGGGGATGTGGGGATGTGCCATCCATGTGTGTGAGACAAGTCCTGCCAGAGCCGGGTCTCACCCAGCCCTGGGGTGCCCTGTGCCTGCTGGACCTGTCCTTAAGCCTGGCCTTTCCAAACGGCTCAGCCTCCAACACATGCTGGTGGAGAGGGGTGTTCCAGCAGGCTCCCCACTCTCCTTGAGCTGAGTGGTGCCTGTCGGGATGCAGGGTGAGCTGAGACCCTCCCTGCCTGAATGGTGCTGAGCTGGGCATGTCCTTTGGGAGACCTGGTGGCACTTAGGGCGAGTCCCTGGCTCCCAAAGCCCTGCTTACCGTGCCGCTTCCAGGCTGCTGAAAAAGAGGTGGGGGTGCCCAGGGGGTCCCGCGGGTGAGGGACCTGCACCCCCCGGCCTCAGGCCGCGCTGGGGCCCTGCCGATCCC